TATTTCTATATAACCTGTCTCTTCACAAAAAGATATTGCTGGGAATCATCAACATATTGGTAGGATGAGTAAAATAACCTTTTTCTACAGTTTTAGTATTTATTAATTCCTCGTTAATAGTCTTAAAAGTTGTTATTCACTTTAAATTAGGGTATGCCCCTTGTATAGGTGAAAATTACTTCAGAGGATGGGAATATAAAGGACAAATTGAGGAACATACAGATGTTTTCCTAAGTTCTAATTTACATTTTACCAACAGGAATACACTTTAGTTTTGTCTTGTTTATTAACCCAATAGAAATGTATAAGTAAACGGAGTTTTAGGACTGTTTACCATATTAGGTTTGTAATTATGCTTGCATTTTGTGATCGTAAAGATAGTAATTGGGGCAGGGGGAAAATGCTTGTCCTTGAATCATTGGAAAATGCCCCCAAAATAACATTCAGAGTTACTGTGTTTATGTGCACGTTTCTTCTAGTGATATTTTTACTCGGATTTTAAGACAGCCCAATTGGTCAAGTCCCTGTGCGGTCTTCCTTAGTTTGTAAGATTCCCCTCTCCACCTAGTGTGTGGTAATTCACCCATAGTAGTAGAACATGGCAGAATATAATGAGTTGAATAGACTTCATCCAAGGGAAAAAGAACTAGTTGGCCTCTACATCCCCAAGTTTTGTTGGTATGTCTCTGTGGGTAGAGATTATTGAATATTACAGCTCTAAATCACCTGGCGAGGAGATTTATACAAAAAAACAGGTTTTAAATGTTATTTAACAAAAGAAGAGGCAGCTGGGCTAAAAGAAATTGGATTTGTAGGATAAATTCCAAAGAACTCTTCTCTGTATTCCACCTAATAGGAAGCATTTGATTTTCCTCAACTCTGTGTCCTAGAAAAAAAGTTTGCTTAAAAGTGTTTTTTGGGGGGATGGGGGGCTATAGCAGTTGTATTTTCAGAACCCAAAGAAAGTTAACCCTATAAAAATCACAATACATAAGAGGGTGAGGAAAAAGATGGGAAGGGCTAAAAGATAAGAGTAAAATACAACATCTTAAACTTCTGTAACCTGTTAGCTTTAGGAAATAAAGGTGCTTTCTGAGGAATAAGGTTTGGAAATAAGTTTGTGTCACTGATCTACTGTTGCATGTAGAAAAGGGAATTTGGTTGTTTGTAAAGAAAGTTACCAAATTAAACCACAGTTAAGGGTAATCAAAGGAAATGACAAAATGTATGGTCATAGCTAATTTAGCTTTATTTCTTCTTTTAGCCATCAAGTTTTATCGTAGGGCTATGCAACTTGTACCTGATATAGAGTTCAAGATTACTTATACCCGGTCTCCAGATGGTGATGGCGTTGGAAACAGCTAGTGCGTATATAATTTGATAGATAGTAATGCATAGAGTTTGTTAAAGTTAAGCGTCTTTGCCCTGTTGACTCTTAACATGATAAGAATATGGTGCTAATTCTGTTAAGCTATATAGTCTTTGGTATATCCTTGTCTATAAAATTGTAGAAATTTTTCGGTCAGGAAAATTTAAAATTAGCATATAGAAATGCACATTTTAAACAGATATATAAATAACAAGGTGATGAAAGCATGTTTTGATTTTTTTTTTAACAAAAGCAGTGATTACTGAAAGGAATAAATGGATACGTTTCAACTTTCTGAAACTCATTCGAAGTAGAAAGTATTAAAATGTAATTAGGCCAAAGTTGGCAAAATGTTAATAATGGTTGCATTTGGCTGATGGGTGCATGGGATTTTTATTATACTAGTCTCTCTCTTTTTGTATATATTTGAAACTTTACCTTTTATAAAAGGCTTTTAATTATATTAGAAAAATACTGAACTGTAATAAGACTTTATTCTCAATGTCTGTAGGTAGAACATTAAAACGCTAACATTTGTTTAAAAGCACAGGTGCTAAATATAAGCATTGCTAAAAGAAATAATGTTTCATTGTACAGACTTGCATCAAAGTCATGAAGTAGCATTGACTGTTTCATATGGACAAAAATCAGAGAACATGTTTTTAAGACGATACTTTTGAACTATTTGTAAAACAATTATAAAATTGTTTTAGCTTAATCCCTCTATTCCCCAAAGCCAGTTTACTGATATTAGAAGGGAAGAGAGTCTATACCCATGAGAGAATGTCAGGTTTAGAGTGGGCAATCCATAGAAAAATAGAATTTTGATAATGAGATATATTAGCTATTATATTACCTCTCTCATGAAATAATTGTTACTTTTATTGATAACATACGTTATTGCCAATGTTATTAAACCGTATATGGTATTAACACTTAAGCTTTGGATAAGTTATATTGAAAACATCCCAATGAAGGCAGTATTAATTGCCTGTTTGAATTTTCAGCTAATGATACTGCTCACCAAATTATAGTTAACAGTGTGAAGAAGTTCACACTTAAAATGAATCATTTGGGCTTTTTCTAAAACCTTTTTAAATTTGGTTAGAGTCATTTAGACCCTACCTAAATGTTTGGGTAGACAACATTTAGTTTTATAAATAGGTGCCAAGTGCTGTTAAAAAAGATTGTATTGACCGAGTGCAGTGGCTCATGCCTGTAGTCCTAGCACTCTGGGAGGCCAAGGCAGGAGGATTGCCTTGTGTCAGGAGTTCGAGACAAGCCTGAGCAAGAGCGAGACTCCATCTCTACTAAATAGAAAAAATTCGCCAGGCAACTAAAAATAGAAAATAAAAATTAGCCAAGTGTGGTGGCACACGCCTGTAGTCCCAGCTACTCAGGAGGCTGAGGCAGGTGGATCGCTTGAGCTCTGGAGTTGGAGGTTGCTGTGAGCTAGGCTGATGCCATGGCACTCTAGCCCAGATGACAGAGGGAGACTCTGTGTCAAAGAAAAAAATAGCACTCTGGGAGGCCAAGGTGAGAGGATCACTTGAGGTCAGGAGTTCGAGACCAGCCTGAACAACAGAAGACCCTTTTTCTATTTTAAAAAAAGAAAGATTGTGCTAAAATATTAAAGAAGCGTTTCTTTTCTTCCTCATCCCTTTATACAAACCCAGAGGCTATGAAAGTTCTTTAAGAATATAATCATTTTTTTAAAATAAGATCTGATAAGCCCTAAATGTTTCCTTGCCTTTCCCATAAAGTGTTTGTAGAATAGCCATTGAGTCCATCCAGCCTCACCCATACTTGCTTTTTGTTGTATTATAAAAAGCCGTTCCTGCTTTTCTAACTTCATCCTCATCTAAGCCTTTTTATAAGTCTGATGATCTTTAAGGTTTACTTCAGCAAAAATGGAAAACTAGACATTTTTTAGAACTCTTAACTACACATTTGTGTATATTGGTAGATGATTTGTGAACTCTAAAGTTTTTTCAAATTAGGTATTTTCTTCTCTAAAGGTAGGATGATAAGTTAAGGCACATCCGTTAGAGAACCTTTGGTAAGTACCTCAGGTGGCATCTGTATATTTGATTTTTATCCAGTTAGAATGGATTAAGATCACTTAAAGAATTTACTTACATAAAATTTACTTACATAAAACTTACATAA